TCTGTGTCTGTGTTAATTGGTTTCCCTTTTCTTTGTTGAAGAGGGTCTGTGCAATCCTTCTGCCTAGTCCGCCATCTTGCCGGAACTCCTATAATACTCTTAATGTGCTTTAGTAGAAAAGCACCATTCTACTGGGTAATGCTCACCACGCGTCAGTCAGTTTGTTGGACTGTGGAAGCTTGTGTGTTGCTGTGAAGCTGGAGGCTATGCCACTGGTCTTTCAAATCCCTGCAGGGTCTCCTATGGTGGAAAGGTTTCAGTGGAGCTTCCAGATCAAGACAGACTGGGAAGAAGGAAGCGGCCATCTACTTCTTAAAGAATTGGCCAGTGAAAACCTTATGAGCAGTAGTGAAACACTGTCTGATATATTACTGGAAAACTTTATGAATACCTCTGAAACACTGTCTAATACAGTGCCTAAACATAAGCCACTCAAGTCAAAAGGCACTCATATGACTGGGAAAGAGCTGCTTCTTTAAAGTAGAGTTGACCTTAATGACATGCATGGAATAAGGCGTTTGGGACCTCCATTGGCTGATGGTACATGGCTCAAAATGGGACAAAACAGCTGCAAACAGCCATTAATAATTGGAACATGGAATGTACAAAGTACAAATCTAAGAAAACTGGAAGTTGTCAAAAATGAGATGGAATGCATGAAGATTGGAATCCTAGACTTTAGTGACCTGAAATGGACTGGTTTTGGCCATTTTAAATCAGACAATTATATGATCTACTACACTGGGAGTGAAATTGAAGAGGAATGGCATGGCATTCACTGTCACAAAGAATGTTTCAAGATCTACCCTGAAGTATAATGCTGTCAGTAATACGATAATATCTATATGCCTAAAAGAAAAACCAATTAATACTACTATTACTCAAATTTATGCACCAACCACTGAAGCTGAAGATGCAGAAAGTGAAGAGTTTTACCAATGTCTGCAGTCTGAAATTGACCAAACATGCGATCAAGATGTATTGACTATTATTGGTGATTGGAATGTGAAAGTTGGAAACAAAGAAGAATCACCAGTAGTTGGAAAATATAGCCTTGGTGATGGAAATGATGCCATAATCACATGATTGCATGACAGAATTTTGTAAGACCAGTGACTTACTCATTGCAAATACCTTTTTTCAACAATATAAACAGTGGTTATACATGTGGACCTCACCAGATGGCATACACAGGAATGAAACTGATTACATCTATGGAAAGGGGAGATGGAGAAGCAAATCAAGGCCAGGAGCTGACTGTGGAACAGATCATCAATTGCTCATGTGCAAGTTCAAGTTGAAGCTGAAAACAATTAAAACAAGTCCACTAGAGCCAAAATAGGACCTTGATTATATCCCTCCTGAATTTAGAGACAATCTGAGGAACAGATTTGATGCACTGAATGCCAGGGACCGAAAACCAGAGGAACTGTGGGATGGCATCAAGAACATTATCCATGAAGAAAGCAAAAGGTCATTAAAAAGACAGGAAAGGAAGAAAACATCAAAACAGATGTCAGAAGAGACTCTGAAACTTGCCCTTGAATGGAAAGTAGCTAAAGCAAACAGAAGCTATGACAAGATAAAAGAGCTGAACAGAAGATTTCAAAAAGCAGCTCAAGAAGACAAAGTCAATTATTATAATGATATGTGTAGAGACCTGAAGTTAGAAAACCAAAAAGGGAAGAACATACTTGGCATTTCTCAAGCTAAGAGAACTGAAGAAAAACTTGAAGCCATGAGTTATAATATTGAAAGATACCGTGGGCAAAATATTGAATGATGCAGGAAACATCAAAAGAACATGGAAGGAATACAAAGTCACTGTATCAAAAAGAAGTGGTCAGTGCTCAACTATTTCAGTAGGTGGCATATGATCAAGAACCAATGGTATTAAAGGAAGAAGTGAAAGCTGCACTGAAGGGACTGGTGAAAAACAAGGCTCCAGGAATCGACAGAAAACCCACAGAAATGTTTCAACAAACAGATGCCATGCTAGAGGTGCTTACTTGTCTACGCCAAGTAATTTGGAAGACAGCTACATGGCCAACTGACTGAAAGAGATCCATATTTGTACCCATTCCAAAGAAAGGTGATCCAACAGAATGTGGAAATTACCGAACAATATCAATAATATCACATGCAAGTAAAATTTTGCTGAAGATCATTCAAAACCAGTTGCAGCAGTACATTAACAGAGAACTTCCAGAAATGTAATCTTGATTCAGAACAGGACATGGAATGAGGGATATCATTGCTGATGTCAGGTAGATATTGGCTGAAAGCAAAGAATACCAGAAAGATGTTTAGCTGTGTTGTATTGACTATGCAAAAGCATTCAACTGTGTGGATCATAACAAATTATGGATAACACTGAGAATGAGAATTCCAGAACACTTAACTGTGCTCATGAGGAACTTGTACAAAGACCGACAGGTTTAAAATCAGGAAGGTTGTGCATCAGGGTTGTATCCTTTCACCATACTTATTCAATCTGTATGCTGAGCAAATAATCTTAAAAGCTGGACCATATGAAGAATGTGGCATCAGGACCGGAGGAAGATTCATTAACAACCTGAAATACGCAGACGACAGAATCTTGCTTAATGAAAGTGAAGATGACTTGAAGCACTTACTGACGAAGATTAAAGATGACAGTCTGCAGTATGGATTACAACTCAACACAAAGAAAATGAAAATCCTCACAAGTGGACAAATAAGTAGCATTGTGATAAATGGAGAAAAGATGAAAAACTAAAGATAAAGTAATCAAATATTTCATTCTACTTGGATACATAATTAAGAACCATGGAAGCAGCAGTCAAAAAATCAGACATCATACTGCACTGGGAAAATCTTCTGCAAAAGACCTCTTTAAAGTGCTGAAGAGCAAAGATGTCACTTTGAAGACTAAGGTGTGCCTAATCCAAACAATGGTATTTTCAATGGCTGCATATGATGTGAAAGCTGGACAATGAATAAGGAAGCCTGAAGAAGAGTTGATGCTTTTGAGCTGTGGTGTTGGAAAAGAATACTGAAAGCACTATGAACTACCAGAATAATGAAAAAACCTGTCCTGGAAGAAGTGCAGCTGGAATGCTCCTTAGAAGTGAGAATGGTTTCGTCTCACCTATTTTGGTCATGTTGTCAGGAGAGACCATCCTCTGGAGAAGGATATTATGCTTTGTAAAGTGGAGGGTCAGTGAAAAAGAGGTAGACCCTCCATGAGGATGGGTTGATACAGTGGCTTCAAGATGGGCTTAAGTATAGCAGGGATAATGAGGACAGCACATGACTGGGCAGTGTTTTGTTTATTGCACACAGGGTCACTATGAGTCAGAGCTGACTGGATGGCACCTGACAACAACAGGTAATATCTTTTATTTTGTATGTCATTCTGATTAAATTCTGAATCCAAAAGTCTATAAAGAAAATGATTCAGGACTCTGGCCCAAACCATGTATGGTCCCAAATGGTATCTTGTAAGCTCAGCTGAATCAGAACTAATCCTGATCTCATTATAACATTTCTAAGATTTGAGAGGGATGTGCTGATCCATCCCATCTCATTCTAATGGCAATCACTATAATGTAACTTCTGTAGTATGGATATTAACAAATTAGTACAAACTATAATGTAAACTCTCTATTAGCAATAGTCCATATACTATTTGATTACTAATTACTCTGTAAATTCTCTGTGAATATTAAAGTTTAAATAACAATAAACTCTAAATAAAGAAAGCAAAATGAGAATATAGCTTATTTCTTACTTACGTCTGGCCACAGTTCCAGCAACAATTGGTATGTGGGTTTCATTTTCTCCCAATTTAGATCTAAGAAGAGCACTTAATTGATCATAGGAGGTAAAATAAATAACTGTAGCAGGAACTGCCATCACTCTGTTAGAAATACACAAAGAAAAAGAGGTGTTCAAAACTATCAGAAAGCCTTAAACATGCTCACTGGTTATTAAATATAAGGTAAAACCTATACATTCTATATAATCCCAAACCACAACAAATCAGGTATTAGATTAATTTTTCTTTTATTTTAAAAGTTATTAGTGCTTAACTTGTGGTTAGCTGTCATCATGTCACCCCTTGACTTAGGGCAACCCCTTGCACAACAGAGTTGGACCATTGTGATCCACAGGGTTTTCAATGGTGCTTACCTAGTAGGTAATAAAAAGATATGGCAGGTATCTGCCCTCTAGATGTTTACATTCTTCTTGTGAAGATAAGCTACAATATATAGAGTTAAATATGTACTGTTTACCCCAAACTCAGATTATATACAGAGCACATGCTCAAGTAACAAATAAGAAAAGACAAAGGAAGATCCTTCTCTATCTCCTTGACTTGTTCTGTTTCTGGGTTCCAGATCTTCCTTCCCAGATACATTCACCACAACATAAGAATGATGGAAATAAAAAAGTAGCAATTATAAAGCATTTTTGAGCTATGGACCACGTGTCATATCTGCTGTAACTGAGAATAAACTGTAACTATGTCAACAGAATTATAGATACTAGTTTTGAGGTCTCCAATGATGAGTTCTCTTAAATGAAAATATCAAAAAGGAATTATTAAATTCTAACACAAATTTGAATTTGTTAAATACAAACAAAACAGGCACCATCATGTTTAATATTTTCGCAACAGAAAAGCAGACTATGTGTATGATCCAACTACAATAATTTCATAGACCACGCTTTGGAATATCCAATGTTTTATAGTGAAGTCTGGTTATCAGAATTTATGAGCAGGACTGACTACTGGTCTTATATCTGTACTTTGTAATCTTAACCAAACAAACTCCAAACTCACTGCTGTTGAGTCAGATCTGACTCATAGCGACCCCTCTTTGGGTTTTGGAGACAGTATTTACTACAGAAGTAGATTGCCCCATCTTCTTTCGGAGGAGTGGCTGGTGAGTTTGAACCGCCAGTCTTCTGATTAGCAGTCAAGTGCCTTAGGCACTACACTACCAGAGCTCCCACCTTAGGCACTAGGCCACCAGAAAAAAAAAAAAAACCTCACTGCCATCGAGTCGGATCCGACTCATGGTGACCCTGCCTTGGGTTTCCGAGGTGGTATGACTACGGAAGTAGATTGACCAACCTTCTTTCTGAAGAGTGGCTGGTGGGTTTGAACCACCAAGCTTCTGGTTAGCAGTCAAATGCATTGGGCACTACACTATCAGAGCTCCTATTAAAAACATTTTCCTCAAAATTAAGTAATTTGCTCCACATAAAACATAGAGTTAAGTTCTTAGAAAGAGGCAGAGAAAAAAGCAAGCTATTATTTAGAAGATTTTTATAGTTAACCTTTCTAGTTATCATATTAATTCCTACAATAGCTCTTTAGTAGAGAATGAAAACGATTAGAAGGGAAAGTATACATATGGTAATATATCTCAGTATGCATGCATTTCCTATCAATGTTTTTGGAAGTTAAAGAAAAAGCAAATGAACACCAAATTTTTAACATGAGAACATGAAAAAAAATTATGCTTGTGTAGCAAAGACTCATATGCCTATAAAAAGCAGAAAATGAGTAAGGAAGACTAAAGAAGAGTTGATACCTCTTAATTGTGGTCTTGGTGAAGAATACTGAAAATACTATGGACTGCCAGAAGAACAAACACACCTGTTCTGGAATAAGTGCAGCCAGAATGCTCCTTAGAAGTGAGAATGGCCAGATTTCGTCTCACCTACTTTGGTCACACTGTCAGACCATTCCATGAAGAAGGATCTCATGCTTGGTAAAGTAGAGGGTCAGCAAAAAAGGGGAAGACCCTCAATAAGATGGATTGACACAATGGCTACAATGATGGGCTCAAGCACAGCAAGGATTGTGAGGATGGTGCAGGACTGGGCAGTGTTTTCTTCGGTTGTACACAGGGTTGCTATGAGTCATTGATGACTCAATGGCACCTAATAACATCAGCAAAGACTTGACACAGCAGGCCTGGCCACTCAAATTGTCTGTGTCCTCAGGAAGGCCTATACATGCATGCCTCACCTTTGACTAACTGCTGAGAATGTAATTCTTGGAATATTCACTATGATAAAGTTGTTTTGTATATCTAGAGCACTAAACCAACTTTTCTAGGTTATTCCATCTAAACAATGTAACTTATGATAAATCCCTGCTTTCCTTCTGGAGTTCTGGAATTTTGAAAATTGCAGCTAGTCACACAGGTAGAATGTGCCTGCCTACATGACCAATCCCAATAAAAAAGCCTTTGGCTCAGACTTAACTGGACTTCCCTAGGCAGAACACTCAGCACATGTTGGCTGAAGTTCACTGCTAGAGGAATAAGCACATCCTGTGCAACTGCATGAGGGATAATTTTGGAATGCTATACCTGGTCAGACTCTCAACGTTTCTTCCTCTTACTGTACTCTTTTGTTGTAAAAGAAAAACAGCCAGGAATATAACTTCATAAAGTTTCTGTGTATGCTTCCAGTGAATCACCAAATGTATGCAAGGTCACGGAACCCCCAAAATACTTGAGAAAGTGAAAATATTCTAATAATAAAAATGTAAGACTTTGTGCAACCATTCTGGTTATACTCGAAAAGGGATCAGTGCTACAGATCCTGGATAGAGTGGGAGAACAATATAGAACAAAACTCAAAATTATAAAAAAGGTGAGACCCTCAAGACTATGGCCCCTAGTTACCCTTCAGGTTTGGAAGTAAACTCACTCCTGTGACTTCCAGCTAAACAACAGACAGGCATATAGGATGAACATATACACCAGGTAGATACACTCCTCATAATGATCAATCATGGGAAAACAGAGGGGCAGGATTTTTACAGGGAGATAGCTCAGGAGGCAAGAATGCATAGGCAAGAATGACATAGGGAAAGGTAACTACAGGGAGGAAGTGGGAAGAGAGCTGTTACACTGAGGGGAATTGCAGTGAATGTCATGAAATGAAATGTGTATGAACTCCTGTATGGAAAATGAATTTGCTCTGTAAACTTCTACCCAAATCATATAAAAATTAAATAAATAACCATGCTGGTTATAAGACAAAACAAACCACCACCACACTTAGTAGAAAAAATATTAAATTTCAGAAAAAATATTAAATTTCAACTCACAGGGTAGGAGGAAGGCCACTCCACAGGGATTTAATGCCCTCATTTCGAATGATTTTCAAAAAGGCATCCTAAAATCATAACAAAAAAGTAGTCAAAATACATCCCTGAACATAATATGCAAAAAGTATATAGTGATAATTGATTACTAATTTGATTGTTTAATGCATTTATTTATAAAATATGAGTGTCTCAGACTTACATATGCCTAGACACAGGGTTGCCATGTATTGGAATTGAATCAGTGGTAACTTGGTTTTCTTTAATTCTTAAAAAAAAGAATTTTTCTTCAACTTTCAAACAAAAGTAAAAAAAATATTTATTTCTATTTTTGGATGATATTTTTTGCTTACAGGATCAACTCTATATTACTCAGCTCTAGATTATTTAAATTAATATCTGAAATCAAGCTTTTCAAAAATTATTAAAAATGTAAATGTTGAGTAATGGTAGAAAATTGGTCAGATAAACTCTCCTAAATAAAATAATTATGAATGGGAAACACAGGGCAGAAGTGAGATGAGTGCTGTGATCAATGGCATGAAACAAAATGTGTAAGAATTGTTGAATGGGAAATTAATTTGCTCTGAAACTTTTACCCAAATCACAAAAAGAAGTTGAAAAAAAAGGAAAACAATTATGAAATCTGAGAAAAATATTATTAAAGCTCACTATTCGAAATATCTGAAGAGTCAGAGATTAGAAAATATACTGTGATGCCATATAATATAATCTCCTTACCAATGTTCCCTGGAAACATCCTGGCTTCTTATACCATAGTTTGTTGCCTCCCTCTTCACAGACACATAGGTGATCCATGAGTCCATTACTATACAGAAAACATTTTCCTAACAAAGAGCATTTCAACAATCAGTAATTACTTCACACTATTTTCTATTATAGATAAACAAATTGAAAGTACAATGAAAAGACTATAAAATTATGAAAAAAGAAATAACCTTATGAAAAGAGGAAAGTTGAACTATATACATAATTAATTTGATTTGCTTAATGATATGGCACCAGGTTCTAAATGCAACAGTTGTGGATATTAACCTACTTAGTAGGTTTCACTTTTTCAGAACAATAGTAAACAAATGTATACAGAAATAATTTTTTTTTGGTTATCCAAAAGAATAGAGAAGGATGTCATGCTTGGTAGGGTGGAGGGTCAACGAAAGAGGGGGAGGCCTTCAACGAGATGGATTGATACGGTGGCTGCGATGATGGGCTCAAGTATAGCAGGGATTGTGGGGCTGGCGTGGGATCGGGCAGTGTTTCGTTCTGCTGTGCATGGGGTCGCTATGAAGTCGGAAACGACTCAACGGCACTTAACAACAACAACAACAAAGGAATAGAGAGGGAAGATAAAAGAGGAAAACTTATTTTAAAAAGAGAACTTGGGTACATATTTTCTCTATTTGACCAAAAGAAAATACTGTGATGCATAAGGGAAATTCCAACAAAAACAGATTATAAAAAAAAGTTCTTAATCAATGCAACTAATGCTATGCTTTGTTCCTTTCTCTGAATTTGTACTACCCAGCCTAGCCATCTGTCAGCTTCCATCCAATTTACAACTCTCTTTAATTTCAACTTCCTTCCAATTCTGAACTTATTTTTGCTAGCTGAATATACATTATTCTGTGAATTTCATAATACATACGTTTAAGCACCTTCTGCTTTTTAACGCTTTCTTTAATGTGTATGAAACTGATTTACTCTTTTTTTTTAAATTTTTATTGTGATTTGGGTGAAAGTTTTCAGAGCAAATTCATCTTCCATACAGCAGTTCACATACTTTATCTCCTGACAGTCACTGCAATTTCCCACAGTGCAACAGCTCTCTTCCCACTTCCTCCTCATAGCCAAGTTCCCTGTGTCCTTCCCTGCCATGTACTCCTAGCCTTTGAGCTGTCTCCCTGTGCATACACAGCCCTCTATTCTCCCATGATTGATCTTCCCAAGGAGTGTATTTACCTAATGTAAATGTTTAGCTTATATGCCTGTCTTTTGTTTGGCTGGAAGCCACAGCAGTGGCTTCAATTCCAGATCTGAAGAGCAGTTTGGGGCCATAGTCTCAGGGGTTCCACCAGGCTATATCAGACCAGCAAACCTGGTCACTTTTTTTTTTTTTTTTATGATTTTGAGAAACTAATATACTTTTTTCTTGTCTTCTACAATCCATCTATCCTTGCATTCATTTGAAATACACTTGTGGTTCTTTCCATCTCACTGCTGTACATTCAACAAAGTGGCATTTATATATGAGTCAACTTTCTCATAGTCCAGTCTGTCTTCTGCTATTTAAACAAGTTTTAAAATGTCATTATCTTGATAAAGCTTCAAAAGATTGATCAAGAAACTGCTATTTTTGCCCACAAAATAAAATGTAAAAATTCTCTTCTCAAATCCCATAAACTGTCCAGCAATTAATCAAATTGCCTGATAATGTAATGAATTTCCAATCATTATTGTATTAAAGCAACTGTTGGATAGCTGTCATGGATGTTCTAAGATTGTGTATGGCTTTTGGACTGAGGAGGTGCTAGATTCTAAGAGTCCTTGCAAATATAATTCTGTCCTTATCTGTGAGGCATATGCCCAAGTATATAATTGTGCCTTTCTTTACTTTTTCAGTCTACTGCTTATATTTCTTTTATTGATAGGTTATAGGAGTATTATATGTGATATTTTTATTCTCTGCCAAGACCTCATTTTATGGAACTAAGTGATGAAAAAATGTTTTGGCACAAAGGTAAAGATGAATCAATTTTAAAAAATTAGCACAAAAAACAGTATTCAAACAAAAATGAACACATTTTTAACATTTAAAAAATCTAATATAATATTTTCCAGGTAACTAGTATACATACCTTTGGTGAGTGGGTTGCTTTGGGCTTGGAGTCGAATTTTAACAACATCCAGAGGTGTCACTATTTAGATACATATATTTAAATTAATAAGTGATACATGTAAATTGAGGAGTCCCCAGGTGGTGCAAACAGTTAAACACTTCACTACAGCCAAAAGGTTTGGCAGTTCAAACCCATCCAGAGATGGTGCCTCCAAAGATAAACCTGGTGATCTCAAAAGGTCACAGTCTTGAATGCCCTTTGGAGCAGTTCTATGCTGCACACATAAGCTCACAATGAATCATTATCAGCTCAACGAGGACTAACAAAAATAACCACTACCTGAAAATCAGGAGCTCTGGTAGCACAGTGCCTGAGGCACTTGACTGCTAACCAGAGGCGGAAGGAAGGTTAAGCAATCCACTTCCATAGTGATACTGCCTCGGAAACCCAAGGACGGGTCGCTATGAGTCAGGTCTGACTCGACGGCACATAACAACAACGCAACAACATCTGTAAATTGTATAGAAGTGTTCTCAAAGAACATAAAATACATCAAATCATACATTTCCTCATGACTATATAGTGGATAAGGAGCTCTGGTGGCGTAGTGCCTAAGAGGCTGGTGGTTCAAACCCACCAGGCACTCCTCAGAAGGAAGATTGGGCAATCTACTTCTGTAGCAACATCGCCTTGGAAACCCAAGGAGGGGTCGCTATGAGTCAGATTCACTCGACAGCTGTGAGTTTGTTTTTTTTTTTTTTTGGTTTATATAGTGGGTAAGATTTTGTATCTTAAAGTATCCTGAATATAATATTCTATTACTTTTCCCTTGAATTTTGTTTAAAGAGGACCAGTGAGAAGACAGAGTTCTCATCAAACTAAACTGTCACTTAAAAATATTACTTCAACTATAATCACATTAGCCTTAAAACAAAAATACTAGTATGCATAAGAAAATATGAGCTCTGAGATAAGAAAGAGAAGCTTCAAAAGTCTATTTAAATATTTGAGAATACTTTTGGATTATAAATAATCAATGAGTAATATTAGTCATCTTCCTAATCTGTTAAATTCACCTGTACCAAATAAAAGGTTTGGTTAATGCAAATTTGATAAAGCTAGCCATAAATAATCTTTACCAGTAGATTGTATTACTGAATCTGGGAACACTAGGACAAAGAAGAATGGTTTTAATTAGCATCCTATATTTATCTAAGCAGAAAAAAATGCCAAATAGTGGTTCTGAGGACACTTTTCCTCCCCTGCTGAGGAAGTCATATTAGATGAACTATAAAGGCCTTTTAAACCCTAAAATTCTGAGCTGACCAAAGATACTATATTACAAAGGAATGAGTATGTTTTCTCTAACCATGTTATCTCATTTAAATTAACTAGCTATCTTGAGATTATTAAAACGCTATACCCTAATTATGCCAGTTGGCTGTATCTATAAAAAACTGACTCTAAGAAACTGGGAAAATGTGGTTCACAGAAATTTAAGAAATTCACCGTTAATGCAAGCAAGGTAAAATGTAATTGGTATTATTGCTGCTGCAAATTGCCTAAATTCTGTATTATTCATTATACCACTATTTTATTCCATCTTCATGCTTACTTTTTTGAAAAAAGAGTATTAGCGTCATCAAATGTTAATGTTGACAGGTAACTTAAAGTCCTTGCCAAGTCTCCTAATGTTACAGATGAATAAATGAACTGCAGAGATAACCAGGGCATAGCCCCAAGCGCTATACACTAAGAATGGCAAAGCAAAGACTATTATTCAAGTGTCTTGACTCTCTGTCCAGGGTTCTTTTCATTTTATCATCCTGATGAAGGAAGAAAATACTATCATTATTTCATAGATGGCAAAGTTCAAACAAAATCATCAATTCATTCCAAGTTACACAATCTACATGTATCACTAACAGTATTTTTACCCATTAGCGACGTCAGTATAGCTCCAGTACAAGAGGCAAGCATTTGTTGAAGAGGTGTCACTTTGATAATTTCTTTTCTCCTTGCTTCAGGGTCCATATTTTAAACTAACTAAAGAAAAATCTGTTGAAGAAAAACAAAATATAAGATGAAAGTTTAATGAGAAATGCTTTCAAAATGGACTGTTAAAAAATAAACTATAAAAATCTGTATTAATATCAAAAAATGTTTTTGACCGCTATTAAATGTAAATACATAAATTCTGTATATGAAAGTACCATAAAACTGTCACTAATAGAGCATTCTCTCTGATTTTCTAATAATGGTAATATACTTCAGCTAAGCTGTATGAGCAACATCACATTTGTAAAGCAGCTAAAAGAAAATTAAGCAAACAGACCCCAGCCACGTACTAGAATGAACACAACTGAAAAGGCACAGACTCTGTGAATTTAGCTTCAGTGTACAAGTAAATATAGCATTATTTTTATTTCACACCAAAAGTGGTTGCATTGGTTTAAAACAAAATCAAAAGCACACGACCTGAATAAGAAGCATTATCTTAGAAAATGCTGATAAATATGTGTGTGTGTATGTGTGTGTGTTCTTCTTTAAAAGTTAAATACCATCTAAAGAGTATAAAATCACTTATAAACTTACTATTCAAAAATAACCATTGGCAACATAGAGGTGTCATCTTTTCAGATGTTTATGCACACACACATATACAAGGACATATACGCAGATTCCCAACAAAACCAAATTCACTGCCATTGAGTTGACTTGACTCAGATCAAGCCCCACAGGGTTTCCAAGGCTGTCTCATCTTTCTCCCATGGAGAAGCTGGTGGGTTCAAACCACTGTCCTTTTGGTTGGCAGCCCAATGCCTTAGCCACAGCGCCACCAGAGCACCTTGCTACATGCAGATTATACCTGTCTAAATATACTCATCAAATACATATGCACACTCATGTATCTGTGTACATTCATCTTTTCAGAAAAACAAAAACAGGTTAATACTATACATATTGTTTAGTAGCCTGCTTAGATATATAAAAATACATTATAGACATTCCATGTCAATAAATATAGATTTACATTATCATTATTAATGATTGTGCAGTATTTAATTATATAGCTCTAGTGGTGCAAAGGTTAAGTGCTATGCTGCTAACTGAAAGGTTAGCAGCTTGAATTCACCAGTAGCTCCACAGGAGAAAAGACTTGGCAATCTGCTCCTGTAGAGATTTTTTTGTTGTTGTTGCTGTTGTTGTTAGGTGCTGTCAAGTTGGCTCCAACTCCTGGCGACCTTATATACAACAGAACAAAACACTGCCTGGTCCTGTGGCAGCCTCATAATTCTTGCTAAACCAGAGACCACTGTTGCAGCCACCGTGTTGATCTATCACATGGAGGGTCTTCGCTTTTTTGCGACCCTCCACTTTACTAAGCATGATATCCTTCTCCAGACAATGATCCCTTCTGACATGACCAAAGTAGTCATGACCATTCTCACTGCCAAGGAGCAGTCCAGTTACTTCTTCCAAGACAGAATTGTTAGGAAACCCTATGAAGCAGTTCTATTCTATCCAACAGGATCACTATGAGTCAGAATCAACCACTCATCTGTCAGTTTGTCATACTCTGGTGGCTTGTGTGTTGCTGTGCGGCTGGAGGCTATGTCACTGGTATTTCAAATACCAGCAGAGTCACCCATGGTGGACAGGTTTCAGCGGAGCTTCTAGACTATGACAGACTACAGGGAAAGGATAGGACCATTCACTTCTGACAGAATTGGCTGCTGAAAACCCTATCAATAGCAATGTAACAGTGTCTGTTTATTACTGAAAAACTTTATGAAATCCATAAAACACTCTCTGATATAGTGCCAGAAGATGAGCCCTTCAAATTGGAGGGCACTCAAAATATGACTGGGGAGGAGCTGGCTCCTTAAAGTAGAGTCAACCTTAATGATGTGAATGGAATAAATCTTTTGGAATGTTCATCTAACACATTCAACACCAATGACCAAAGACCAGGCAAGTTGTGGGATGACATCAAGAACATCATACATGAAGAAAGCAAAAAGTCATTACAATGATAGGAAAGGAAGAAAAGACAAAATGGATGTCAGAAGAGACTCTGAAACTTGCTCTTGAACTGAGAGTAGGTAAAGCAAAAAAAGTAAGAAATGTTGAAATAAAAGAATTGAACAGAAGATTTCAAAGGGAGGCTTAAGACGACAAAGTAAAGTATAACAAAATGTGCAAAGACCTGGAGTTAGAAAACCAAAATGGAAGAATATGCTCAGCATTTCTCAAACTGAAAGAACTGAAGAAAAAATTTAAGCCTCAAGCTGCAATACCGAAAGATTCTATATGCAAAATATTGAAAGATGCAGGAAGCATTAAAAGAAGCTGGAAGGAATACACCAAGTCACTGTATCAAAAAGAACTGGAAAATGTTCAGTCATTTCAGGAGGTAGCATATGATCAAGAACCAATGGTACTGAAGGAAGAAGTCCAGGCTGCACTGATGGAAATAGCAAAGAACAAAGCTCCAAGAATTGATGGAACACCGATTGAGATGTTTCAACAAACAGATGCAGCTGTGGAGGTGCTTACTTGTCTACGGCAGGGCATTTGCACGATAATTACCTAGCAAATCTACTAGAAGAGATCCATATTTGTGCCCACTCCAAAGGTGATTCAACAGAATGCAGAAATTATTCAACAATATCATTAATATCGCATGTAAGTAAAATCTTGCTGAAGATAATCCAAAAACAGTTGCAGCAGTATCTTGACAGAGAACTTCCAGTAATGCAAACTGGATTTAGAAGAGGATGTGGAATGAGAGATATTGCTGGTATCAGATGGGTCTTGGCTGAAAGCAAAGAATATCAGAAAAATGTTTACCTGTGTTTTATTGACTATGCAAAAAGCATTCGATTGTGTGCATCATAACAAATTATGGATAACATTGTGAAGATGGGAATTCTAGAACACTTAATTGTGCTAATGAGGAATCTGTACATAGACTAGGAGGCTGTCATTTGAACAGAACAAGGGGATACTGAATGGATTACTATTAGCAATGGCATGTATCAGAGTTGGATCCTTTCATCATACTTCTTTGATCTGTATGCTGAGCAAATAATCCAAGAAGCTGGAGTATAAGAAGAAAGCAGCATTAGGACTGAAGGAAGACTCATTAACAACCTGGGATATGCACATGACATAACCTTGATTGCTGGAAGTGAAGATGATTTGAATCACTTACTGATGAAGCTCAAAGACTACAGCCTTCACTATGGATTATACTTCAACATATAGAAAACAAAAACCCTCACAACAGGACCAATAAGCAACATCATGGTAATTGGAAAAAGACTGAAGTTGTCAAGGATTTTATTTTACTTGGATTCACAATAAATGCCTATGGAAGCAGCAGTCAAGAAATCAGAAACATACTGCACTGGGGAAATCTGTTGGAAAAGACCTCTTTAAAGTGTTAAAAGAGCAAAGATGTGACTTTGAAGTCTAAGGTGCACCTGACCCAAGCCATGGTATTTTCAGTACCTTCATATGCATGTGAAAGCTGGATAATGAATAAGGAAGACAGAAGAAAAATTGATGCATTTGAATTGTATTGGCAAAAAATACTGAAAATACCATGGACTGCCAGAAAAACAAAGAAATCTGCCCTGGAAGAAGTAAAGCCAGAATGCTCCTCAGAAGCAAGAATGGCCAGACTTCATCTTAAATACTTCGGTCATAACATCAGAAGGGACCAGTCCCTGGAGAAGGATATCTTTCTTGGTAAAGGAAAGGGTGAAAGAAAATGGGGAAGACCTTCAAGGAGACGGATTGACACAGTGGCCACAATGACAGGCACAAGCACAGCAAGGTTTGTGAGGATGGTGCAGGACCAGGCAGTGTTTTGTTCTGTTGCACATGGGGTTGCTATGAGTCATAGCTGACTCGATGGCACCTAACAACAACAGCATTAATCTACAATTTTACCAAACTCATACACATATGCACAACCTCTCTGTACACAGACACACATTACAAATCATTTCATTTTCCTGAACCATTTGAAAGTAGGTTACATAGATCACACCTCTTCAACCTTAGATGTTGTTGTTGTTATGTGCCGTCGAGTTGGGCCAGACTCATAGCGACCCCTCCTTGGGTTTCCAAGGCAGTATCACTACAGAAGTAGACTGCCCAACCTTCCTTCCAAGGAGTGTCTGGTGGGTTTGAGCCACCAGCCTTCTGGTTAGCAGTCAAGTTCCTTAGGCACTAAGTTTCTTCAGCGTATTCTCTTATATAATAATTATAAAACAACCAAACTAAACCCACTGCCATTGAGTTGATTCTGACTCATAGTGACCCTCGTGGTTTCCAATACTATAAATCTTTACAGAAGTAGATTGATTGCCTCATCTTCCTCCCACAGAGCAGCTGGTAGTTTTGAACTCCCGACCTTCTGGTTAGCAGCCAAATGCTTTATGCACTACGACACCAGAGTTCCTTTCAGTTATCAAACTCAGGAAATTTAACATTGATAATGTACTCTGCACTCATACACTCATATTTCAATTTTGTCATTTATCCCAATGATGTCCTATATAACAAGAAATGGTAAGTTTTATTAGTTCTTTAGATTTTTATTATTTACCAACCTGGTTTAAGCCTTTTCCTCCACTCTATGCTCCAATATTTTATTGTTTGTAACATTAGTAGCTGAAAACCTAAAATGAAAAAAATAAAGTAAATGGCTAATGTTTTCACACAATTAAGGGACAATATGCATAAAGGAAAAGAGTGTGTAAAACAATTTTTTAAAAAACACTAATTTATAAATATTTATTGAATGTCCTAGTAAGTGGTTTGAGGACTATGAAGAGCGCACCACAAATTGTAGCAACAGTTATGAAAGTATTTTCACAAAAATTTAATGTATCCTATGTTGTTAGCTACCATCAAGTCAGCCTCTGACTCTACTTAAAAAACAAATAAAACAATAATAAACTTCTAGAACCTGCAACACAGTGATCAAACTTAGCATCATTAATAGTTGAACAACTTGACACTGTGACACAAAATGAAAGATTCAGAATCATCTCAGAAGTATTTGAGGCAAGGAGGGGGGATTTAACTTGAAATTAAGCAAGTCTTTAGATCTATCTTCTAGAAATTCAGAGACTAGAAGAATAAGGTAAAGGATGTGACAACGAAGGATCAGACAAATGCAAGTTTAAGACTCTAGGTAGGGTACAGGACTCCTGTCTTGTGGTTGTTGTCAGGTGCTGTCATGTTTGTTTTCACTCATAGTGACCCTAGGTTCAACAGAATGAAACACTGCCCAGTTCTATGCCATCCTCACAATCATTGCTGTGTTTGAGCCCATTGTTGCAGTCGCTGTGTCAATTCACCTTGTTGAGGGTCTTCCTTTTTTTCCCTGGCCTTCTACATTACTAAGCATGATGTCCTTCTCCAGGAACCGGGGTAGGGGATTTTAGTTCCCTAATGGGAGCTCTGGTAGCATAGTGGCTAAGACACTTGCCTGCTAACCAGACGGCTGGCGGTTCAAACCCACCAGCCACTCCTCGGAAGGAAGGTTGGGCAATCCTACTTCCGTAGTGATACTGCCTCGGAAACCCAAGGAGGGGTCGCTATGAGTCGGGGCCGACTCGACGGCACATAACAACAACAACGTATATATATTATTGTGATTTGAGTGAAAATTTACAGAGCAAATTCACTTTCGACATCAGATAATATTTTTTAAATTATGATTGATTTTGTTTGGTGAGATAATGGCATTTAGAAAAAAAAAACAGATTTATGTATGTTTGTTTCTTTGGTCCACTGAGTCATTTTCAACTCAGTGACCCCATAAGATAGAGTAGAACTGCCCCATTGGGTTTCCTTGACTGTAATCATTATGGAACTAGACCATCAGGTCTTTCTCCTACAGAGCCACTGAGTGGTTTGATCTGCCAGCCTTTCAGTTACTAGCCAAGTGGTTAACTATCTGAGTTACCAGAGCACTTTAAGAAATTCATACTGCAGTGTTAAGGGCTGAAATGTTATAATAGCAGTAATTTACTTCAAAATACTTCAGGAAAGGGCTGCTTATGCACCGGGAGACAGCTCAGGGGGCAGGAGGGCATGGAAAGATGGACACACACACACACACACACACACACACAGAAAAATTCTTCAGGAAATATAAAGCAAATATACTAGAATGTTAATTTTTAAAATCTCGGTGATAACATTTTTCATTTCTCTCTATATATGATTTGTATTTTTTAAAATTCCTAAGATTTATATACAATCTTCAAGTACAGGAACATACATTCATTTATATCAATAAAGTTCTTTCAAGTGGAAAAATAATATATACATGCTAGAATACAGATAATAGCTCCCTTCCAGAAGCTTAAGAGGCATACAGTGCTTTATGCTGGCACCCATCCCAGCAAAGCTGGCAACCTGAATATGCTTACCTGAAATTAAAGCCAGAAAAAAAGGATTTAACTATCTGCAACAATTATTTAGAGCATAAGAGAAAAAAAAGCAAGGAATCTAGATGTAACTTTTTAAAATAAAGAAATGTTATTGGACTTTTTATTATTTTACAAAATCCAAACCCAAACTCATTGCCATCAAGTAGATATGATTTTATAACATATATTATTTTAGAAAATAAGCTATATAAATCATGACATGTATCTACTTATAATGAGATCTGAAAAATAAGTCTCCTTTTCAATTTAGCCAAAGAATAATGAAAAAATAGTGGAACAGTGGAAAAATGGACAACATAACCAAAGATTTGGGGCCAGATGGAGAAAAATCTTAGTGGACTGTCTAGAATTCATAATGTAGTCTCCACTGCTCTAAACTACCTATAGTCCTATCAACACGTTTATCTTTCTTCTTTCCATCTTTCCATTCTTCTATGTGCAAGGCATTATCCCGTCTTCAAAGAGAACACAGTCTAGTCAGAAAGACCATTCTAACATTAATATCTTATTTGCTCTCCTGTAAACTCAGAATATAAAATGTTTTTATGAAAAAAATCACTTCTCATAAAGAAATGTTTGCAAAAATACATTCCTCCCTCAACAGTTCCCTGTGAAATTCTCCTTTTCTAAGCCTTTTCTCCATCGTATATACTACTTACCAGTTGCCACTGAGTCCATTTCAAATTACAGCAACTCTAGGGAGCTCTGGTGGCGTAGTGCCTAAAGCATTTGACTGCTAACCAGGAGGCTGCTGGTTCAAACCCACCAGCCACTCCTTGGAAGGAAGACTGGGCAATCTATTACCGTAGAGATACCTCAGAAACCCAAGAAGGTGTCACTGAGTCGGAATCGACTGGAGGGAGTGAGTTTGGGTTTTTTGATAGGACAGAGTAGAAGTGCCCCATAGGGTTTCCAAGGCTGTTACTTTTATGGAAGCAGACTGACCTGTCTTTCTTCCTCAGAGTGTCTGGTGGGTTCTAACCACCAACCTTTCAGTTAGCAGTTGGATGCTTAACCACCGTACAACCAGGGCTCCTTATATCCTATTTAAGTTAGTATTAATGATTTGTTATACCTTGCCAAGTAGTAGTTTTCAGGAATAAATGACAAATATCCTCAAACAGGAAGAATTCATGACCCTCTCTTGAGGGAACAGTCACTGGGTGGTGCAAACAGTTAAGTGCTCAATTGTTAACCAAAAGGTGGTTGTTGTTGTTGTTGTTATGTGCCATTGAGTCGCACCGACTCATAGCGACCCCTCCTCAGGTTTCTGAGGCATTATCACTATGGAAGTAGATTGCCCCATCTTCCTTCCGAGGAGTGGCTGGTGGGTTTGAACCGCCAGCCTTCTGGTTAGCAGTCAAGTACCTTAGGCACCAAAAGGTTGGGCATTTGATTTCACCCAGGAGCAGCTGCAAAGGAAAACCTGGCAATGTACTCCTGAGAGATCAAGGCTACTGAAAAACCCTGTGGGGCACAGTTCAATCTGAAGCACATGGGGTTGCCATGAGTCAGAACTGACTTGACAGCAAATGGTTTCTTGGGGGAAGAAAATAAAGTTGATTAATGACAAAACCCACTCACTGAGTGACAAACGGAGATGCTTCAGGAAAAGGATAGTTTAGCACATTGTAGATGCTTAAGTAATAAAGAAGGAAAAAGGAGAATAGGTAGATTATCTTATGGTCATTGCCAAATATGCGTTCAGCACAACCATCAAGGAATTTATAATCTAGCTCAGCTCAAATTCTAACTCTTCCTGTCTTGCTTAATTTTCATTTTTTACTCTTTACTTATGTTGTGTTCTAGGCCTTGATATTCTGAACTCTGGTTTGCTAGCCCACTCTCATCTGAGACATGGACTGTAGCACCATATCCATTAACCAACCCTATCTATCCATTCCTCATAACACATAACAACAACAACAACAACATCTATCCATTCATACACCTAGTCTCCAAAACTAAGAACTGAACCTTGGAAAAACCTTAAGACTGCTAGTTTATACCAGTAATGTTGTTGTTGTTGTTATGTGCCGTCGAGTCGGCCCCGACTCATAGCGACCCCTCCTTCGGTTTTCGAGGCAGTATCACTACGGAAGTAGGATTGCCCAACCTTCCTTCCGAGGAGTGGCTGGTGGGTTTGAACCGCCAGCCTTCTGGTTAGCAGTCAAGTGCTTTAGCCACTATGCTACCAGAGCTCCTGTAAGGAGATTATAAAATGTGAAAATTGGTAAAAATAGCAACAGAACACATTTCAGAAGATAATATAGCAATAGTTTGCAAATCAATCAAACAGAAATAATTATTAGTAAAGGACCCAAAAAAGCAGGAGATAAAGGTGCAATAAAGGTGCAAGGTTTGCTATGGATAGGGAAAAGGAACAACAGCTAGCCAGGTACAGAGAGCCAAAGAAAGATATTAGGAAAGCAAAAATATTAAAGAATGAGTAAATCAGTTTGTCTCCACTTTAGAACGAATAATTTGGATATGTGGGGTAGACAAAGCAGGTGTGGTGCAGTATATTACTCAATATGGTCCTTCTAGCCATAGTCCTCCATTTTCTATGTATTATAAATCATAGTAACTAGGTCTGTGGTTATGGCCCCATTCTGGAGGGAGTTGTCTGTTATGTTAATGAGGCAAGATTACGGAGGGATATATCTTGAGTCACCACCTTACTAGAAGGTGTGCTCAAGTAACCACCCTTAGTTTCCTACAGGGTATGGTCTCCATCTAATATATATGAGTGCTCTGGCAAAATTCTCTTTCTTGCTCTGGATCCTGGATCTGGTTTGTCATCATCTGACGGGTTCTTTTGACTTGAGCCAGCAGCCTATCATCTGATTCACCAGCTTCTGCAGTCTTATGAGACAGCACCCTATTATCTGACCTGCCAGATTTGGTTTGTCAGCACCTGCAACCACATGAGTGAAGAGAAGCCTCCAGACTGATGCCTGACCCACAGACACGGAACTTGCCAGCCTCTGCAACTGTGTGAGCCATTTCCTTGGCAGTTCATGACGTCTGCAAGACATTACAGTGAAGGCATTTGACTGCTAACCAGAACGCTGGCGGTTCAAACCCACAGCCACTCCTCGGAAAGAAGGTTGAGCAATCTAATTCCATAGTGATATTGCCTCAGAAACCCAAGGAGGGGTCATTATGAGTCGGATCCAACTCTACGGCAGTCAGTTTGGTTTTGGTTTGGTAAGACAGGAGGGAGCATGCTGAGGGTAGGAGGTATAGTTGATGTTAGAGATGATGGAGTGGTATAACAATTTGGAAAAGTTGGATATTTGGGACATCTTTAACCTGTTTCACAGGGATCAGCTTTGTGCTGATCCTTGTAAAAGAAATTATTCAAGCAGCAGGTATTATTTTCCCTTAAAAATGATGTAAATTTAGAACAGCAAGTTTAATATTTATCCAAGGTCATAAAATTACATAGGAATACAGCCAGCATTGAGGGAAATTCCTGTCTCTTGATACCCTGCCAAATGCTTATTTTAATTAGACCATAATCCTGCACAAAGTTCTCCAGTTTTGCTTAACAGAACTCTTTAACCAAACTTACCACCACAAGTAACCCTTCCTCCAGTCATTTCTTCTTGAATGTATCTTGAAGGACCCCTTCATTTACCAACAGACCAAATTATTAATACACTAGTAAGGAGATTTTTATCCTTATTAGACATTAAAATATAACCAAGTCCTTCTTCCTGTGGTTTCAAAAAGAATTAGATTCCAAAAACAATACTTCTCAAAATTAACCTCAGGTTAAATGCTACAAATGTATTCATACTCACTTATAAGGCAGACTTTCCAGTTACGCCTATCTTGGCATTATCACCTACAGTGCAGTCAAGGTTGTGCTGAAAGCATAGGGTACAACTACGTTTCTATCATTTCCCGTTATAGTAAACAAGCAAAGTAACTCATCTTTCACTAGAATGTGAAATAGGCTTCCACTTTTTATTATTATTATTTTCTTACTTTGAGACATGCTTAAATCTTTCCCACATACCTTAAATCTCTCAAAGATCCAAACTTCCCTTCCAAACACTACTCTACCTTGACAAATTTTTTTTTTTAAAGGAGTAGACTGTCTCACTCAAGCCCATGAGTCTCAGCTAGCCTTCACCTTCACCATCTACTGAAACTGTCATTGAAGAAACCAATATCATCTCAAGATCTGATAACCTCTTATGCATCATCACTCCACGACTGAGAATCAGTGATCAGTCTGTATGTTTCTCAATTCAGTCTTTCTCCCAAGCCCAGACCTTTCTCTCTCTCTCTCTCCTGAGTTACAGACACCCCAGGGCCTTAAACCTAAACCCCTTCAGAACAAAACTGTTCTCCATTTTGGCTAAGGGTATCACAATCTACCCAGGTCTATATTCTAAAGCACATATTTGCAAAAGGACAGTATTGACACTCTTTAACTTTCTTGAGCTGCTAAGAAATAATCAGCAATTAAACAGTGATGCTTATTACCACCAAGAGTTATCAAGGCATGCAAAATAGTACAATATATCATCCTCATCCTCCTTAGGAAATTTACAAGCAGAAACAAACACCCCCCCATTGTGCGTGTGAAGTATTTTCCCACTTACAAGCCACTCTCTCATAAACATTTTAATTTAATTCTTAGCACAAACTTATTTCCGTTTCACAAATGAGAAAACTGAAACTTAAAATAATTAAGATAATTTAACTTAAGTCTCATTACAACAAGCTGGTCAGTGATCGGTCCAGGATCCAAAATCCTAGTCTTGAGATTTCAAATTCCACTTATTTTCCATTATTGTTGACATAAACTTATACACAATAAAACGAAAACAGAAGCTTGTGCACAACAGACGTCAAAAAAGCAGGCCACACAGTCAAGTGCGAAAGGGCACGGAAACACTGAACGCGCCCTGGGGTGGCATTCTCATCAGAACTAGGGGCCGCCTGGCCGGGTACCTGCTCCCACGCCCCTCCTTCCCTCTCACCATGGGAATTCCCTCTGCGACCTGTCCACAGAGGGCCCGTCCTCAGAGGCAACCGAGCAACAACCACGCTCTGCGACCCGAACTGCACTGAGCAGGGCCTGCTGCTCTCTGACCCCAGCCCTGGCTCCAAAAAGAGTCTGGGATCTGCTGCAGCCACTGTGCCGCCAGCCTCCCACACATCCGATCCCCGGGACTTAAGCATACCTGGTGGAGCAGGCGGCGGGAGGGCAGACAATCCCCGCAAGTCTAAAATACTGTAATGACCCTGGTGGTAGGCTGGGCAGGCCTCCAGCGCTAACTGCATCCACTAGGATTGGTCAGTGCGAGCCAGCAGGACTCTAGAAGGTTTCGGCAGGACCTGGAGCTGACAGGAGACACAGCTGGGGTCTGAGACTCAGAGGCCATCGGATCGTAGGACCCAAGGGGGCGAAGACCCAACCGTGGGGGCGGGGCGGGCAGTGCAAGAAGGCGGGCATGACGGGGGCGTGGCGCCCGGCGCGAGGGGCGGGCAAGAGGGATAGGGCGCGCTGCGCGAGAAAGGGGCGTGGCGGGGCAAGGCGCCCGACGCGGGGAGGCGGGCACAAACGGAGGGCCCGTGGCGCAAGGAAGGGACGCGAGAAGATTTGGTTGAGTGGAGCGAGGAAGCGGGCACAACGGGGGCGGGCTAAAAGGAGAAGGACACGTGGGGGCGGGGCGCGGCGCGCAGCGTGAGGAAGGGCGGGGCGCGCGTATCGGCGCCGCGGCTGCGTGACGTGTTTTCAAATCTTCAACCGCCGCAACCCACTCGTTTGTGCTTTTCTCCTTTCTCTGCGCCTAGTCGCCGGATCCGGCCCCGGAAGCCCGGTCTGCAGACTCAGCATCTCTACTGCGTGGTGGCCGCTGACCGCGGAACGGAACTGATAGCGGGGCTGTCACAGAACCTGAGGAGCCGTGTTTTCGCGGTTGCCCGTCGCGACACCGTCTCCTGACCCAGCATGTAGGTGCCGGGCGGCTGCCATGAACTCCGGAGCCATGAGGATTCACAGCAAAGGACATTTCCAGGGTACGAAGCCCCTCCTCCGTCAGCAGCCCATTTAATCCTTTCCTTTCATGGCTCCATTAATTCCTCAGAGAATTTTCCTGCTGGGTCTACCTCTTTTCTTTTCCAGCTTGTACGTCCTTCTTTTCTCTGTGCAGACGTGGCCTGAAGGAAGGCTCCGTTTAAGGTTTTGCCTCAGAAAGGGACAGGGGCCCGGCCTTGCGTCCTCCATGCCCAGCAGGCCCCAGATTCCGGGTCTGCGGTTGGTTGTAAAACTAGGGAACAATGTGCGTCCCTGAGAACTCGCCGGGCTACAGGGCTACTACCCCCCCTTGCAGTGCTCCCACAGATGCTGTGACCCGGCTCAGGCCCTTGGAAGCTGCAGACTCGATCCTCAGTTTAAAGACAGATGTGTTTGTGACTTTTCAGTTCATGAACAGATGGAGTGGCTGTGGATGGATTTTTGGTCTTATTGTTAAATATATTTTCTTTCACGGAAAGTTAAGGGAAAGCGCGTTTCAAACACGTTGTTTCCAACATTGTGGATAAATAGGAGAACAAAAGCAAATTTCCATTTTCCATCATTTATTTGGGGAAACATTCATCCCCTATCTTTTTCCTGTTTTTTTTTTTTAAATATATGGCAGGCTCCAATTTATGACCAGATTGTGTTCTAAAAGTTGATTTTTGAAGCTCAGGTTTGTTTCCAGTGGAAATAATGAAGTGAATGGTGATTGGTTCTTCCACTAAACCTAGATACACAAACTATATGAAACTAAAACTTGAGGACTGAGTCATTCTGGGTAACAGAAGTTTTTTTGCATAGCTATTTAGTATTTGACTTGACGGCACATAACAACAACAACAACAACAATTTAGTATTTTAAGCACCAGTGTTTAGTGTTCAGCAGAGTAGCAGATGCTGAATAAGTATTTGTTACATAAATACCCCCATGGAGTTCACATTCTAAGGAGGAAAAGCTTTGTAAAAGGTTTTGTATAGTTCTGTGCCTCAGTTAAAAAAAGAAAAAGAATATTTTCTGCTGAAAACTAATTATTTAACAATATAGGATTTGTTAAAGTGTAGAAAGCATTTCAGCTTTATTCTAAGTAGTACTATAAAGAAGTATGTGCTAATGACAAATTGTAAGATTCTAACGATTTTTTTCTCTCTAACATGATTGTTGTATAATGAAATATTTTTGAACTATGAATATTTTCTGTTTGCCTAAAAGATCTAATTCTAAATATTTTTAACAACAGGTGGGATCCAAGTCAAAAATGAAAAAAATAGACCATCAGTGAAATCTCTAAAAACTGACAACAAATCAGAAAAATCCAAATATAAGCCACTTTTGGGTAAAGTGTTCTACCTTGACTTACCTTCTGTCGCAGTGTCTGAGAAACTGCAAAAAGACATTAAGGATCTAGGAGGGGTGAGTCAAAACCATGCACTTTGACAAAAAAGGAAAAGAATTGTAACTTGTACTCTAATATATTGTCCTTTAAGACTTTCAATATGGAAAACTAGTAACTGTCTATTAGCACAAGCTTGAAATGTTTATCATCTTATTGTTATGGCTGGAAAAAAGAAAATTTGTTTCAACTTTTTGTAGCCTGACAAAACTTTCAGATCTTTATAATTTGTAGTCTAGTGTAAAGTTCCAAATTTTGAGAAAGGAGACTCCCTTAATGTAGTGGAAACACTATAATGTTGGGATGTCCCCCAGATAACAAGAATTCTGTGATTATATTTTTGGAAGAGCTACCTAAATTTGTGTGTAGTATAACAGATAGGATGTTACTACAGAACATGGAAGACCAGTTCAAACCACAGTGTTAAAATTGCTTTTGAGGGACATGGTCCCAATGGAATGAATGTCAGTAAGGGAATAAAATTTTGAATTAAGATTCTGAAAAACCTACTTCTTTCCTCCATTGCATGATTAGATGATTGTTGTCAGGTGCTGTCAGTTGATTTTTCACCTCCTAATTAATTACCCCATGTGACAAAGTAGAATTGCCCCATAGGGTTTTCTAGGCTGTAATGTTTATGAGAGCAGATCATGAGGTCTTTTTCCCTCAGAATCACTGGGTGAATTTGAGCCACCAATCCTGAAGTTAGTAGCTGAGCAACTGTTGTGCCTCTAGGGCTCCTTGATTAGATGTTTAGGAAGTTAAAAAAACTTGAGAAAAATTCTGAGAATTTTTTTAGAATCAAGATTAATTTAGATGAATTTTAGTAAGTGAAGCTGTAAATGACTTTATTAAGGCTTAAGTCTTCCTGTTTATAAGGTTTATTTCTGTTACACTTTGAGTTTCTTTAGGTTAGCATTTTTTAATAAATTTTTTCTGAACATTTGAAATGAATCTTCTTTCATTCCCAGATTAGAAATGTTTAGGACAATATGTTAACAGGTCTTTTGGAATTTTGTATTGATGTGGTATTTTACTTACCTCTCTTTCAGAAGTTATTAAAAGAACTACTCCTTTGTTATTCACTTTGTTAAACTAAAACATTGTCACACATTTGTAATAATAGTAACATGTATCTTGATGATACCATATGGTTGCATTCCTAAAGGTTATATAAGACTGCTACCATATTGACTGCACTACCTATCAAGAGTGTCTGAATGTGTTGAGGACCTTAGACACTGAGTATAGTAGACCAGAGAAGTTAAATGACTGGCCCAATCAGCTTGACTAATCTGTTCATTCACAGACTGCTCCATTCTGTTCCTGTAGCAATGGCTACAGAGTAGCTACATGGTATAGGTTGACAGCTTTTTCAAAAATGAAGAATTACCCATTAACTCTTCTGGACTGTATCAGTGATTTTTAGACTTGTGTTTTTAGCAGTGGAATCCTCCAAACAAAACCATTTTTGGAAGTCTAAAATGTAAAGCCAGTAAAAGAGGGAACTGTTCTGGGGAAAGAGGTGAACAGACTAGACCCAGGGATCAGCTGTCCTTGCTGCTTTCTGTCTCTCCTCTTATCCCCAGAGCAGTTCCTGAGGCCCTTCCAAAAAGCACATATTGAAATTATTTCTGTCCTAGATAATATTGAAGGTCCTTTAAAAAAAAAAAAATCCAATCTTTACCTTAAATGGTTTGAAATAGACTCGTGAAATTAAGGGAACATATTAAGGGTGTAAGTTTCCAGTTTTTCTCACATAGCTGTGCTGATTTTAATTTATAAACTGTATTGCTGAATTTCTTTTTTAAAATTTTTTATAAGCTCTTGATGCTTCCCCACACACATTATCTTTCCTATAATTCAGTGATACATATTTTCCTAGGTCCTATTTCTGCCTTTAGCACATTACCTTTTTCTGTCACTTCATCGCCACAGACTTGGCCATGAAGTTCTCCTACATAAATTACAAAGAAACTTTGATCTCTAATACTGAGTAGTAGGATTCAACTTAAAGAAGTATGAATTTAGTTATTCCTTGAAATGGCTATACTTACCTGATTAATTTAAATATTACTTAGGATTACTTAGGTTCTTTATTCTTTTTATAATTTACCTTGCTTCAGATAATTATTAGTATTGCTTTTTTGTTTAATTAACCATTAAAAGTAATTTAATAACCCATTTGTCTGAAGAATACACTTCTGGCAATCTCAACCACTGAGAGCATAGCAGTGAATTTTGAAATAATGGGGAACTAATAGGAGCTCTGGTAGCATAGTGGCTAAGACACTTGCCTGCTAACCAGACGGCTGGCGGTTCAAACCCACCAGCCACTCCTCGGAAGGAAGGTTGGGCAATCCTACTTCCGTAGTGATACTGCCTCGGAAACCCAAGGAGGGGTCGCTATGAGTCGGGGCCCACTCGACGGCACATAACAACAACAATAGGAGCTCTGGTGGCGTAGTGCCTAAGGCATTGAACTTTTAACCAGAAGGCCACCAGCCACTCCTTGGAAGGAAGGTTGGGCAATCTACTTCCGCAGTGATAACGCCTCAGAAACCGAAGGAGTGGTCTATGAGTCAACGGCAGTGAGTTTGGTTTTGGTTTGGAATCTTTGAGTAGTGGCAAGGAAAGTAACAGTTAAAAATACTATCTAAGGAGGACATGAAGCCAACTACATTTGGGTTCATTATTTGAAACAGTTTTGTCTGGATACTTAAATGAGATCTAGAACCTTTACTAGTGAACACGAGAGAATCAAAGTATTTATTAGACACTACACATGAGGTCACCATGAGTAAGAATCAGCACCACCACCTCCACGCTGCACTGGCGAATATGTTTGGTTCTCATAACATGGTGGTACAGCTATTTTAATTATTGACCAAGGAATGGGACTTCCCTTGAAAAATTGGAACCTCCAGCAGTATATGAAAATGAAAAATATTTGGTGTATAAATAGATTGTTTCACTCATTTGTAGTCCTGCCTGGTGCTTGTTGGCATTTGAGTTTGCATTACGTGAAATAGATAAATGTGGATACTTATTTGCTGGTTAATGAAAATGAATGTTGCTCAGAAAAAAGTAGTAGTGATTTATACTTACATAGAGGGCCATTAGTATCAGCAGCAATATCTGTTCAATGCTTAGATGAAATTAACTTATCACACAATTTGTTTTATTATCTATATGTATATTTTAATACTATAGAGGAATTAGATAATAGCTGCTTAAAATAGTTTAAAGGCTTTGGTTTATATATACAGTTAATGATTAATAGTATCTGCTTCTCCTTAATTATTCCTGCTCTTGGATGAAAATGATCTTCAATAACATTGACTTTATTATCTGAGTTTATAAATTCAGACATTTAAGCAGTGGTTTTCAAACATTTTAGTAGGGAAATTCTTTTCAAACATTCTTACAATGATAATGGCAAAGATTTCCTCTGGTAGATGTCATACTTAATCACTTAGAATTGTGCTGTACACTATGTTTGCTGCTAATCACGTGTAGCTATTAAAATTTAATTAGATTAAAATAGTTAAGATTCAGTTGCTCAGTCACACTAGCCACATCACAATTGCTTTAGTAGCCACGTGACAAGTTGCTACTGTATTGGACAGCATAGATAAAGAACATTTCCATTATTATATAAAGTGCTGCTTAAGAGTGTAAACATGAGTCAGGATAACTGTGTTCAAATTCTGTTACATACTATTATTTACTTAGTATTGATGGAAATAGGAGCTCTGGTAGCACAGTGCCTAAGGCATTTGACTGATAACCAGAAGGTTGGTGGTTCAAACCCACCAGCCACTCCTCGGAAGGAAGATGGGGCAATCTACTTCCATAGTGATACCGCCTCAGAAACCCAAGGAGGGGTCGCTATGAGTCGGGGCTGATTTGACGGCATATAACAACAACAACAAAGTACTTAGAAATATTGTCTAGTACATACTGCTGTTGTTGTGTTGTTGGAACTCCCATTGCACTTCCTCGGCACTTGAGTTCAGAAGAAAACAGTATGAAAATAACCAATTTCCAAGATAATTAATTAATTGGAATTTTACATTGTGCCTAGCAAATGAAGTAATTTATGGTTTTTATAGCTTACTTAAAAATACTTTGTTTTTCTCTAGCGAGTTGAAGAATTTCTCAGCAAAGATATCAGTTATCTTATTTCAAATAAAAAGGAAGCTAAATTTGTACAAACTTTGGGTCGAGTTTCTCCTGTACCAAGTCCAGAATCTGCGTATACTGCAGAAACCACTTCACCTCATCCTAGTCATGATGGAAGCTCATTTAAATCTCCAGACTCTGTAAGTATCTTAAATATGCATTTTAGATTCTCCGAAAGACTACAGTTTGAGGATCTCTTGATTTTTAAGAGCAGGCTGGTAGCAGAGTTAATTTGGGGAGACTCAACAGCACATAACAACAACAATATCTATACCATCATTGTTTTCTAATCTTTAATAAGGTTGGTGTCTTGTAGAATGGTAAATATTTGCTAATATTGCTTGTGTAGTCATACAAATGTAGTGCTAGAGGTACTCACACATCTACATCAAGAACTTTGGAAGACATTTACTTGACCAAGTAACTGGAGGAGATCCATATTCATAGCCATTCCAAAGAAAAGTGATCCAACAGAATGTGAAAATTATCGAGCAGTATCATTAATACCACACACAAGTAAAATTTTGCTGAAGATAATTAAAAAATGGTTGCAGCAATACATTGATAGTAACTGCCAAAAATTCAAGCTACATTCAGAAAAGGACATGGAATGAGGGGTATCATTGTTGATACCAGGTGAAATCTTGGTTGAAAGAAGACATCTTACTAGCAAGATGTTTACCTGTGTTTAATTGGCTATGCAAAGACATTCAACTCTCTGTATCATACCAAATTATGAATAACATTGTGAAGAATGGGAATGCTGGAACACTTGATTGTGCCCATGTGGAACCTGTACGAAGACCAAGGGGCAGATTATTCAGATAGAACAAGGGATACTTAAGGTTTAAAATCAGGAAAGGTGTAGATAAGGCTTGTATCCTTTCACCATACTTATTCAGTATGTACATTGAGCAAATAATCTGAGACGCTGGTCTATATGTATGAGAACATGGCATCACAAATTGGAGAAAGACTCATTAACAATTTGTGAAACGCAGATTACACAAACTTACTTCCTGAAAGTAAAGAAGACTTGAAACATTTACTGATGAAGAACAAAGACTACAGCTTTTGGTATGGATTACACTTCAACAAGAAAACAGAAATCCTCATAACTGAACCAATAAACAACATCATGATAAATGGAGAAAAGATTGAAGTTGTCAAGGATTTCATTTTACTTGGTTCCGTGTCAATGCCCATGGAAGCAAGCAGTCAAGAAATCAAACAACATAGTACATTGGGCAAATCTGCTGCAAAAGACCTCTTTTTAAAGAGTGAAAGAGGAAAAGTGTCACTTTGAAGAGTAAGGTGCACCTAACTTAAGCCAGTGGTATTTTCAATAGCCTCATTTGACTGCTAACCAGAGGCCTGGTGGTTCAAACCTACTAGGCACTCCTCGGAAGGAAGGTTGGTCAATCTATTCCCGTAGTGATAGTACCTCAGAAACCTAAGGAGGGGTCACTATGAGTCAGGTCCCACTCCATGGCAGTGTGTTTGGTTTTTTTTGTTCTTTCATATGCATGTGAAAGGTGGACAATGAATAAGGAAGACCAAAGAAGAATGGATGCCTTTGAATTGTGGTGTTGTCAAAGAATATTAAATGTTCCATGGACTGCCTGAAGAATGAACAGAACTGCCTTGGAAGAAGTGCCAGAGTGCTCCTTAGAGAAGTAAGGATGGCGAGACTTCGTCTGACTTTGAACATGTTATCAGGAAGGACCAGACCCTGGAGAAAGACATGCTTGGTAAAGTAGAGGGTCATTGAAAAAGAGGAAGACCCTCAACAAGATGGATTAACAAAATGACTGCAACAATGGGCCCAATATAGCAACAATTGTGAGGCTGGCATAGGACTTGGCACTGTGTTGCTCTGTTGTACATAAGGTTGATGTGAGTCGGATCTGACTTGATGACCCCTAGCAACAAATCTGTGCAATATTCTGTATGCACCTAGTGATGTCTATTAATTTTTAGACCAACCTACAACTAAAAAGTAACACCAGGTCATTGTTTGAAAGAAGAAACAGAAACTTTATTGTTTTACGGGGGGTGGGGGTGGTGAGTAAACTGTGGGGCATGGGCCAAATTTAGCCCACTTGTGCAGCCTGCAAGCTAAGCATGGGTTTTACATTTTCAAATGGTTGTAGGGAAAAAAACAATTTTACAGAAATTATATGAACTTCAGATTTCATTGTCCATAAATAAAATCCTGTTGGAACACAGCCAGCCACATCTATTCATTTATGTATTATCTATGGGTAGTGTAAACATAGAATTGAACAGTGTTTACAGAGACCTTATGGTCTATAAAATGTATAACGTGTATCTATCTGACGCCTTACAGAAAGTGTTTGCCAACCCCTGTTCTAAAATTCCTGACACTATATCCTTCCCACTCCATTGCCAACATGTTGCAAGATAATGGAAGGATAAATTAAATTTACCCATTGGGGTGTGCGCAGGGCAAAAGATTAAGAGATTAAATGTTCATTAATTTCTCTCCTTTCAGATTGAAATGTCATTGTGATTTAAAGTATCATTCTCAATTTATACATAATAGCCATTTGAGAAGCAGGGAAAATGAGAAGGAAACAGGTAGAAGAAATGAGTTAAAATAAGTGAAATCACTTGAAAATAGAAAGAAAAAGGCCAGAGAGGGAGAAAAGACTGAGGACGGTGCATGTAGCATTTCACTGAATAATTTTTTGGAGCAAAGAGGCTTTATACCAATAACTTTGTAAAAATTAAAATACCTTATAAAAATGCTGTCTAATGTTTAGCTGTTCAAATATTAAACCTTCAATTTGCAAGTAGTCTAAAATGTAAAGTGACTAGAATTAATTTGTTGTTGTTATGTGCCGTCAAGTGGGACCCAACTCATAGTGACCCCACCTTGGGTTTCTGAGGCAGTATCACTACGGAAGTAGTTTGCCCCATCTTCTTTCCGAGTAGTGGCTGGTGGGTTTGAACTGCCAGCCTTCTGGTTAGCAGTCAAATGCCTTAGGCACTACGCTATTAATTATAGGTACAAAATTCCATTGTAACTTTGGTATTTTCTTTTTCATGTAGAATAGAATTTACTATGAAATTGGTCTCTTGGTGACTATTCAGTTGAGTTTAGTTGTGCTAAAGAAAAATGATGAAGCAAAACATTTTAATGTTGTTGTTGTTATGTGCCATCGAGTCGGACCCGACTCATAGCGACCCCTCCTTGGGTTTCCGAGGCAGTATCACTATGGGAGTAGATTGCCCCATCTTCCTTCTGAGGAGTGGCTGGTGGGTTTGAACCGCCAGTCTTCTGGTTAGCAGTCAAGTGCCTTAGGCACTATGCTATCAGAGCTCTAAACATTTTAATAGGAGATCTTATTATATACACCTTAAAGAAATACTTTTCTCTATATATTTATTACATTGATAGATACTAAGTCTTGTAGAAATAAAATGTATCTATATACTTTAGCTAATTTATCTTTTTAATCTGTTCTCCAATGAAGTACTGTAATTTTTTTTTAATTTATTGTTGGTCTTTTTATAGGTGTGTTTAAGCAGAGGAAAATTACTAGTTGAAAAAGCTATCAAGGACCATGTGAGTTGACACTTAAAAACTTTGCAGTGCATATTTTGCTATTAAAAGTTCGAGTGGAAATAAGATGTTCTTGAAAACTTCCATTCCTCATTTTATATGAAAAACCTGAACTTTGATGGGGAAGCATCTCCATCTTGTGGCTTTATAAAATATTGCAGGTGACTTCTGAAGCTGCTTGTGTTTTTGTATTTTCAAATGAAATAATTTCTTAAACTTGCCCTATGATGAGCATTAAATTATTGAGAACATGACATTATATTAAGCAGGATTGATTTTAGAAGTTCTGAAAGAAAAATATTTAATGTGCTTCTTACTGCAACTTTATAGGTTCTGCTCTGAATAACAGCCTCTGTGAAGTTAAGGATCAAAATTTTTTTTTTTTTTTTTTTAAATACCTCACTTAAAATAGTGATTTTGTAGCCGTATCCTCAAAGTTTATTTTATTTTTTTACAGGATTTTGTTTCTTCAAATAGTATATTATCAAATGCCTTGTCATGGGGAGTAAAAATTCTTCATATTGATGGTAAGGATTTCATCTTTTTTTTTTTTGACGATATTTGTTATAAGTATCCATCTCTTCCTTGGTTCCTTATCTTAGTGATAATTCTAATAGCAAGGGATACTTGTAATGATAATTTCTATACCTAATTTACAACTATAAGAGAATAACAGTGTTTAACTCGCCAAGGTGAAAATGCTAATCTTAAATTCTTTTTTCTTTTAATAAAGACATTAGATACTACATTGAGCAAAAGAAAAAAGAGTTGTATTTACTCAAGAAGTCAAGTGCTTCCATGAGAGATGTGGTATGTCTTTCCTTAATTTTTAAGCTAATTTTTTAAAAAAAAATCCCCACTAGTTGTAAGGCTATTAGTTTTATTTGAAGTAAGTAAAATACTAATTTTAAATGGATTGTGAAAGGCTATGTACATGTATTGTAAATCCCATAGCAACCACTAAGCAAAACAAATCAACCAAATAGAGAAAAAACAGATGTAGGCAAATAATCCAAAAAAAAGCAGGAAAATGGAAGACAAAAACACAATAGGGATCAACAGAAATTTAACAGTGAATTGGTAGGTCTAAGTCCAAGCATATCAATAATTGCATTAAGTATAAATCAATTAAACATACCAATGGAAGGACAGAGATTGCCAGACTTCAGACAATCAAATACTGTCTACAATAAACTCATTTTAATAAAAAGACTAAATATGGTAAAGGTAGAAAGTTGTAAAAAGATTTACTATGCCAGCATTAATCAAAAGAAAGCTGGATTGGCTATCTTAGTATCAAAGTAGACCTCAGAATAAGGAATATTATTAGGTACTGAGAGGGACCTTACACAATGGTAAAAGAGTCAGTTCACCAAGAAGATACCAGAATACAAAATTTATACACACCAAACTGCAATCTTCAAAGCACATGAATCAAAAACTGATAGAACTTAAAGGAAAAATAGACAAATCCAGAAATATACCCATAAAAACTCGCTGCCATCAAGTCAACTCTGACTCATAGTGGCCCTCATTGGGTTTCTTAGGGTGTAAATCCCTACAGAAGTAGATTGCCCCATCTTCCTTTCATAGAGTGGCTGGTGGGTTTGAGCTACCAACCTTCTGGTTAGCAGGCAAATGCCTTTGGCACTGTGCCAACTGAACTCCTTTATACGTATGTATATAGTCCTTAAAACCCACAGCCATAGAGTCAGTTCTGACTTACAGTGATGTTATGTGTAGAACAGCCTCATAGGGTTTCCAGGACTGTAAATCTTTACAGAAACTGCCTCATCTCTCTGCAGAGCCACTGGTGGGTTCATTATATCAACCTTTAGGGTTACCAACCAAATGTGTTAATCCATTGTGCCACCAAAACTCCTTATATGTAGCATAGAAAATTTTGCTTTTGAAAATCAGCTCAACCAAAGAATGTATATGGTAGTTTAATTTCTTTGGTTGGGTTGATTTTAAAAAACAAAAATTCCCCCCCCCCCCAATAAAAGTTAATCACTGGTTATATAGCATTTTTCCTATGTAATAGTTTATATCTTGATACAAATTGCAGTTGTTTGTTAGACATTGTGCTTCCAAACCCAGTATTTTCACTGCTTTTTTTTTTTTTTTTTTTTTTTTCCGAAAGGGGAAAAGAGTTTATACTCAGAAAACAAGATGTAAGTATTTTAATATCCTTAAGCCTATTTGGTTTGCTTTTAGAAAATGGAACAGTTCCTAGAAATCATATACAAAATCATGTAAAGAAACTTTGGAAGTGATTTATTCAGAGGTTCTTAACCTTGTTCTCTGTAACATGGATGCCCCTTGTGGCAGTCAGGTGAATCTTGTGGACCCCTCTTCAGATTAATGTTTTAAAAAGCATAAAATGAAATTGTTGAGTTACCAGGATAATAAATTATTAAAATACAGTTTAAAATATTTTTTAGTTACTATAGAATATAAATACATATTACATTAAAAGCAAATTCTAGCAGTGATTGTAATTATTATTGTAATTTTAAAGTGATGAGTGTATTGATGCTTTGAGATATTTGCAATAATGAATACGATATAAAAGTATCTGCTATTTCTGTTGGTATCAAAGTTACATGTACTGCTAATGCTAATGTGATTTGTTATTTGTAGTTGTAGGAGATGTTAAATTTCAGTTAGAGGCTAGTGAAAATAAAGGTGGAATTTTTTTCCAGCTTAAGTTAATAGATCCTCCTGAATTCTTTGGGACTCCATTCAATTTAAGAATTTCAGTATTAAACAGAGCTTTTGTCATTTTGGAAATGAGTGATATTGTAAAACACTTCCCATGAGGCTTAAAATTTTGAAATGTATATTTACTTTTTCTTAATTAGAGTTTTTATAAAAATTAAATAAGAATATTGTGTTTACAAGTAGTTAATACCTTTTTTTGTAATTTTTTAAGCAGGTAGACTCAAAAAGCCTTTTGTAAAGGTGGAGGATATGTGCCAGTAAGTACTAAGTCTCATCTGTGTGATTTAAGTACAATACTAAGAGGGAAACTCTAGTAACGAAGGTTGGGCAATCTACTTCCTTAGTGATTCTGCCTCGGAAACCCAAGGAGGGGTTGTTGCTATGAGTCGGGTCCGACTCCATGGCACATAACAACAACAACAACAAGCCATTGAGTCTTATCCGACTCATAGCGACCCCTCCTTGGGTTTTCAAGGCAGTATCACGACGGAAGTAGATTGCCCTGTCTTCCTTCCAAGAAGTGGCTGGTGGGGTTGAACTGCCAGCCTTCCGGTTAGCAGTCAAGTGCCTTAGGTGTTATGCCACCATAGCTCCTACTGAAAGGGAAACGCTACTAACTAATTAAAATAGTTTATAAAGATACCTAACTTACTGATAGGTACATACTACTAGGTATTTTTCTGCTGGATTTATATTAATGTGTGTGTGGCACAAGTTACAGAACATTGTTACTGTTAGGTGCCGTCCAGTTGGCTTCAGCTCATAGCAACTGAAACACTGCCTGGTCCTGTGCCAGCCTCAAAGTCCTTGCTATATCTAAGCCCATTTTTGTAGCCACTGTCTCAAACCATCTCGTTGAGGGCCGTCCCCTTTTTCGCTGACCCTCCACTTTACCAATCATGAAATCCTTCTGCAGGGACTGTTACCTTCTGAGAAAATGACCAAGGTGTGTAAGATGAAGTCTGGCCATTCTCGCTTCCAATAAGCATTCATTCTGGCTGTATTTCTTCCAGGACAGATTTGTTCATTCTTCTGGAAGTCCATGGGACTTTCAGTATTCTTCGCCAACACCTTAATTCAAAAACATCAACTCTTCTTAGGTCTTCTTACTCGTTGTCCAGCTTTCACATGTAATTAGGCTGTTGAAAGTACCATGGCTTGGCTTAGGGGAGCACCTTGGTCTTCAAAGACACATCTTTGTTCTTCAGCACTTTAAAGAGATCTTTTGCAGCAGATTTGCCAGTGCAACACAACGTTTGATTTCTTGACTGCTGCTTCCGATGGTGTTGATTGTGGATTCAAGTAATACGAAATCTTTGACAACTTCAATTTTTCCTCCCTTTATTGTGATGCTGCTTACTGGTCTACTTGTGAGATTTTTGTTTTCTTTATGTTGAGGTGTAGTCCACATTGCAGACTATAGTCTTTAATCTTTACCAGTAAATGCTTCAATCATCATCTTCACTTTTTCAGCAACCATTTGTGTTGTCTGCGTATCACAGGTTGTTAATGAGTGGTCCTCTTATCTTGATGCTACCCACATTGTTCATATCATCCAGCTTCATGGATTATCTGTTCTGCATACAGTTTGAATAAGTGTGGTGACAGGATACAACCCTGGCACACTCCCTTCCTGATTTTAAACCATGCAGTATCCCCTTGTTCTGTTCGGATGACAGCCTTCTGATCTTTGTACAGGTTCCTCATGAGCACAATTAAGTATTCTAGAATTCCCATTCTTCTTAATGTTATCCATAATTTGTAACAGTCCACACACATACTTTTGCATAGTCAATAAAACGAAGTAAACATCTTTCTGGTATTTTTGCTTTCAGCCAAGATCCATCTGAATCTGCTATCACATTCCTCGTTCCAAATCCTCTGCTGAATTCAGCTTGTACTTCTGGAAGTTCTCTGTCAGTATACTGCTGTAACTGTTTTTGAATTATTGTCAGTAAAATTTTATCTGTGTGTAACATTAATGATAGGAGCTCTGGTAGCATAGTGCCTAAGACACTTGACTGCTAACCAGAAGGCTGGCAGTTCAAACCCACCAGCCACTCCTCAGAAGGAAGATGAGGCAATCTACTTCCATAGTAATACTGCATACATAGTAATACATAGAAACCCAAGGAGGGGTCACTATGAATTGGGTCCGAATCAACGGCACATAACAACAACAACAATATTAATGATTTTGTGCAATAATTTCCACATTCTGTTAGATCACCTTTCCTTAGAATGGGCACAAATATCAATCTCTTTCAGTCTGTTGGCCAGGTACCTATCTCTTGGCATAGACGGGAAGTGCCTCCAGCACAGCATCTATTCATTGAAACATCTCAGTGGGTGTTCCATCAAATCCTAGAGCCTTGTTTTTCACCACTTCTCAGTGCAGCTTTGACTTCTTCCTTCGGTACCATTGGTTCTTAATCATGTGCCAGCCACCTCAAATAGATGAACATCAACCAGTTATTTTTGGTACAGTGACTCTCTGTATTCCTCCCATCTTTTTTTGATGTTTCCTGCATTGTTCAGTATTTTGCCCATAGAATCCTTTAATGTTGCAACTCAAGGCTTGAATATTTTCTTTATTTCTTTCAGCTTGAGAAATGCTAAGCGTGTTCTTCCCTTTTGGTTTTCTAACAGTAGGTCTTGCGTGTTTCATTATAATAATTGACTTTGTCTTCTGAAGCTGCTCTTTGAAAGTTTCTGTTCAACTCTTTTGTTATTTCTTCCATTTGCTTTAGCTACTCTATTCAGGAATAAGTTTCAGAGTCTCTTCTGACATCCATTTTGATCTTTTCTTCCTTTCCTGTCTTTTTAATGACCTTTTACTTTCTTCATGGATTATATTCTTGATGTAATCCCACAACTCATCTGGTTTTCAGTCATTGGTGTCTAGTGCATCAAATCTGTTCTTCAGATGATCTCTAAATTCAGGAGGGATATATTTAAGGTCTTATTTTGGATCTTGTGGACTTGTTTTGTCTTCATCTTCACCTTGAACTTACTTGCATATGAGCCATTGATGGTCTGTCCCACAGTCAGTTCCTGGCCTTGTTTTGGTGGAAGATACTGAGTTCTCTATTCCTGCTTTTCACAGATGTAGTTGATTTGGTCCTGTGCATTCCATCAGGCAAGATCCACATGTATAGCTGCTATTTATGTTGTTGAAAAAAGGTATTCACAATGAGTCATTGGTCTTGAAAAACTCTATCATGCAATCTCATGTTATTTCTATCACCCAAGCCATATTTCCCAACTACCAGTGATTCTTCTTTGTTTCCATCTTTCACATTCCAATCGCCAGTAATAATCAATACATTTTGATTGCATGTTTGGTCAATGTCAGACTGCAGAAGTTGGTAGAAATCTCAATTTGCCTTGTCTTCGGCAGTTGCTAAATTAAGGCACTTGATTGCTAACCAGAAGGCTGGTGGTTCAAGCCCACCAGCCACTCTTCGGAAGGAAGGTGGGGCAATCTACTTCCGTAGTGATACTGCCTCAGAAACCCAAGGAGGGGTTGCTGTGATTTGGGTCCAACTCGACAGCATATAACAACAAGTATTAACTGGTCTTCCATGTAGATGTATAGATATTCTGTCACTGACAGCATTGTACTTCAGGACAGATCTTGAAACATTCTTTGTGATGATGAATGCCGTGCCAATCCTCTTCAGTTTGTCATTCCTGGCATAGTAGATCATGGCCAAAATTCAAAATGGCTAAAACCAGTCCATTTCAGCTCACTAGTGCCTAGGATATTGATCTTTATGCATTCAATTTCATCTCTGACAACTTCTAATTTTCTTAGATTCATACTTCATACATTCCAAGTTCTGATTAATAATGGATGTTTGCAGCTGTTTCTTCCCATTTTGAGTCACGTCCAATCAGCAAATGGAGGTTTGGAAAGGTTTACTCTATCCACAACATTAATGTCTGCTCTACTTTGAGGAGGCAGCTCTTCTCCTGTTGTATTTTGAATGTCTTCCAACCTGAGGGGCTCATCTTCTGGCACTATATCAGACAGTGTTTCACTGCTATTCATAAGGTTTTCACTGGCCATTTTGACAAGTCCATGGCCCCTTCCTTCTTCCAAGTCAGGGGATCAAGAAACACATTTAATTTCATTATGATGAAGACAGTATTTGAAATACCGGCTTTAGAGCAGTAATGGAAGCAAGTCATATTTTAGTATTTCTAGTAGCTATTCTCTAGCCAAGGAGCTCTGGTAGTGTAGTTCCTAAAGCATTTGACTGCTAACTAGAAGGTTGGCAGTCAAAACCACGAGCCACTCTGGGGAAGGAAGACTGGGCATTCTACTTCTGTAAAGATTTACTCTTCGGAAACCCAAAGGGGGGCCCTGTGGGTGGGAATGAACTCAATGGCAGTGACTTGGGTTTTTTTTTTTTTTTTAATTTTTTTAAAAATTATTCTGTAGCCAAATGTAGTACTTTACAATTTAGAGATACTGTTTAAAATTGCTCCCATATTTCTTGAGAAAGAGGAATTACTGGGTGCTATTTGGAATAGACCATCAACTGCTCATATGCAAGTTCAACTTGAAGTTGAAGACAATTAAAACAAGTCCACGAGAACCAAATATGATCTTGAATATATCTTTCTGGAATTTAGAAACCATCTAAAGAATAAATTTGATGCATTGAACACCAATGACCAAAAACTAGAGGAATTGTGGGATGACATCAAGAGCATCATCCATGAAGAAAGCAAAAGGTTATTAAAAATACAAGAAAGACAGACCAAAATAGATGTCAGAAGAAACTCTGAAACTTTCCCTTGAGCGAAGAGTAACTAAAGCAAATGGAAGAAATGACGAGATAAAAAAGCTGAACAGATTTCAAAGAGCAGCTCGAGTGGACAAAGCCAATTACTATAATGAAATGTGCAAAGACCTGGAGTTAGAAAAACAGAAGGGAAGAACACGCTCATCATTTCTCAAGCTGAAAGAACTGAGAAAAAACTTAAACCTCGAGTCGCAATATTGAAAGATTCTATGGGCAAAATATCGAATGATGCAGGAAGCATCAAAAGAAAATGGAAGGAATACGCAGAGTCACTGTACCAAAAAGAGCTGGTCGATCTTCATCCATTTCAGGAGGTGGCATATGTTCAAGAACCAATGGTATTGAGGAAAGAGGTCAAAGCTACGCTGAGGGAATTGGTGAGGAGCAAGGCTCCAGGAATTGACACAATACCAATTGGAATGTTTTAACAAACCAATGTTCTGCTGGAGGCACTCACTAGGTTATGCCAAGAGATTTGGAAGACAGCTACTTGGCCACCTGCCTGGAAGAGATCCATATTTGTACCCATTCCAAAGAAAGGTGATCCCACAGAATGCAGAAATTATCAAACAATATCATATATAAGTAAAATCTTACTGAAGATAATTCAAAAACGGTTGCAGCAGTATATTGACAGAGAACTTCCAGAGGTGCGGGCTAGATTCAGAAGAGGATGTGGAACAAGGGATATCATTGCTGATATCACATGGATCTTGGCTCAAAGTAAAGAATACCAGAAAGATGTTTACTTGTGTTTTATTGACTATGCAAAAGCATTTGATTGTGTGGATTGTAACAAACTGTGGATAACATTAAGAAGAATGGGAATTCCAGAACACTTCATTGTACTCAAGAGGAACCTGTACATAGACAGGAGGCTGTCATTCAAACAGAAAAAGGGAATATTGCATGGTTTAAAATCAGGAAGGGAGTGTGTGAGGGTTGTATCCTTTTACCATACTTATTCAGTTTGTATGCTGAAGAAGAGTGTGGCATCAGGATTGGAGGCAAAATCATTAACAACCTGCCATACGCTGGTGATGCAACTTTGCTTGCTGAAAGTGAGGATAACTTGAAGTACTTACTGATGAAGACTGAAGAATAGTCTGCAGTATGGATGGATTACATCTCAATATAAAGAAAACAAAAATCCTCAACACTGGACCTATAAGCAGCATTATGATAAATGGAGAACAGATTAAAATTGTCAAAGAATTCACATTGCTTGGTTCTACAGTTGACATGAATGGAAGCAGCAGTCAGGATATCAGACAACATATAGCACTGGTGTTCTGGTTACCTAATGCCGCTCTGACAGACATATACCACTAATGGAATGACCTTAACAAACAGGAGTTTATTCTTACAATTTGGAGGCTTAAAGTCCAAGTTCAGAGTACCAGGCTCTAGGGGCTAGGTGAAAGCCCCTCAGCTTTGGGCTTCAGCTCTGCCTCCAGCTCCCGGCCCACTGAAGCTAGAGGCATTTCTTCACTCAGCTGCTGGCTGATGAGGCTGAGAAGCCCAAGGTTGACAAGTAAAAAGGCACAGTCCTGATGTTACCAAACCACACAGCAGGCCATTAATTTAAGTCCATTGTAAGTCCCAAGGTCGGCAGAGCATGGCAGGCTGCTGAACAATGACACGGCTACATGCAGGGTCCATGCGTGCCATAAGCTAGAGACAATTCCCAAGGCTTCTCCTTATATACAGGAAGCAGACCATATCCCAAAGATGCTTGTGGTAGATCCCACCATGGAGCTGATTGCCGGTCTCATCATGGGGAATAACTACCACCAGTTGCCCAGCCACTCAACCAGGCTCAGCCAAGTTGACACAAAAACATAACCACCACAACTGGGCAAATTGGCTGTAAAGGACTTCTTTCAAGTGCTGAAGAGCAAAAATGTCTCCTTGAGGACTGAGGTGCACCTGACACAAGTCATGATATTTTCAGTTGCCTCATTTGCGTGGTGAGAGCTGGACAATGAATAAGGAAGACCGAAGAGGAATTGGTGCTTTTGAGCTGTGGTGTTGGCAGAGAATGCTGAACGTACTGTGGACTGCTAAAAGAACTAACAGGTCGGTCCTGGAGGAAGTGCAGCCAGAATGCTTCTTGGAGGTGAGAATGGCCAGAGTTTGTCTCACATACTTTGGTCATGTTGTCAGAAGGGACCATTCCCTGGAAAAGGATGTCCTGCTTGGTAAGGTGGAGGGTTGACGAAAGAGGGGAAGGCCCTCAACGAGGTGGATTGACACAGTAATGGCAGCAGTGGGCTCAAGTGTAGCAAAAATCGTGGAGCTGGCTTAAGCCCGGGCAGTGTTTCATTCTGCTTTGCATAGGGTCGCTATGTGACTCGATGGCACCTAACAGCAACAACATTTGGAAATACAGAGGACCCTGGTGGTGGAGTGGTTAAAGCACTTGGTTCCTAACCTACCAGCCACTGTGTATGAGAAAGAAGTAGTAGTATGCTTCTGTGAAGATTCATAGCCTTGGAAACACTATTAGTTAGTTCTGTTCTATCTCGTAGGATTACTGTGAGTTGGAATCTGCTGCATGACAGAGTTTCATTTGCTTTGATTTTAAAATACAAGGAGCCCTGGTGGTGCAATGATTGAATGCTCAGCTGCCAACCAAAAGGTTGGCGGTTTTAAACACTCAGCAGCTCTGTAGGAGGAAGACATGGCAATCTGCTTTTCTAAAAATTACAGAAAAATCTGGTGAAGCACTTCTACTTTGTCACATGGGGTTTCTTTGAGTCAGCATCAACTCGACATCACCCAACAACAGCGATTTGTGAATACAGAATTTGGGTATAGCGTCTAATTTGGTAGTTTTCCAAAACACTGAAAGATATATTTGCAGGATAATCTTAATGAAGACTGTAGATATAAATAAAGTTTGGCACGGGAAAGATAACTTTCTCTTGACTTTTTACCTTCTCATTTAAATGTGTTAAGTATGTGTGGCTAATTATCTTGGGTAGTCACTGAAGAGCCAAAAGTATGTTGAATGCTTCTTTTTATACAGTATGTTACTGTGAACAAAAATGCAATTCAAAATGAGGCCTAGAAATTGATTCTTAGAAGGGAAACCTAACTGATTTCTATTATTTCAGATTCCATGTAAATTAAATGATTCTGAAAAGTATAATTAAAACTTACTTCTATTCACATAGAATCTCATGTATTTGTCTTTTTATTCTTTTAGACTGTATAGGCCATTTTATCTTCAGTTGATCAACATGCCTTTTATAAATTATTCTATCCAGAAGCCTTGCAGTCCATTTGATGTGGATAAAACATCTAGTACACAAAAGCAAACTCAGGTTAAACTAAGGTTGGTTTGAATCTTTCCTTTTAGAAGGACTGTTATTCAAAATATCATTTCAAGTAATTTTTCATGTATTTGTAAGCAAGTATTTAAAATAATACATTTTACACCATGTTGCTGTGTGTGTCTCTGTTCCTAATCGCTATTCTTGTGTCTGTCCTTAATCATTATTCCAGTTAATTTTTGTCCTGTATATTTTCATTGCCCTTATGCAAGATTTGAAATATGCATCTGTTTTCAGTATATCCAATTTAGGCACTTCAGTTAGAGAGAAGGGAAGAGTCTTGAAAATAATGTGTTGTTTCTCTTAAGATAACTGATGTATTCTCCAGGTATCTTTAAAGTTCTTTAGAGAATTTACATTCTTAGTTTGCTGCTTAAAAATATTTATTTGCTAGTAAATCTCTAATCAAATTATTGCATGTTCTATAGATTTATAAAGTATTCCTTATGTTTAGTAATTCTTTTACTATGTATTTCTATTACCAGGATCCAGACAGATGGTGATAAATATGATGGAACCCCAATTAAGCTCCATTTGAAAGAGAAGAAGAAAAAAGGATATTGTGAATGTTGCTTGCAGAAATATGAAGATCTTGAAACTGTAAATGTGATTCATATTTAGGGGATTGATACTTTTAAAACTGAATAGTATTTGGTAGTTAAATTTTAATGTATTTTGATTGTGGTTTACAATTTTATAATTATAAGCTGTTTTTAATTGTGTTTGATAAAAATATTTTATTTTAAATTTTATTGTGCGTTGGGTGCAAATTTACAAAGCAAATTTGTACATTCAGCAGTTTGTGCACATTTGATTTCATGCCCAGATTACCCTCCCCAACCATACAAACTCTCCTCTCCTGTCCCTGTGACTACTCCCTCCCTGAGCCCTTAACTATGCTTTCCTGCTTGTCCAGTTTTCTCTTTCTGTAAATACAGCCACTCTAGTGTCTCATGGCTAATTGCTTTAAGGGGTGCGTCATCCTGGGATAGTTGTTCTGGGCATATAGGTCTTTCTCCTGTTGAGCTAAGAGCCAGTCCATGGGAGTGAGTCCCAAAGGGTAACCTGGAGCCGTAGTATTGTGGGTTCCACCACATTCTGTCCAACCAGTAATTCTAGTCTTTTTTTTTTTTTTCTTTTTTATTGTGATTTGGGTGAAAGTTTACAGAGCAAATTCAGTTTCATACAGCAGTTCACATACACTTGTCTCATGACATTGACTACAGTTTACCCCAATGCAACAGATCCCCTCCCACTTCCTCCCAATAGTTACCTCTTCCTTGTGTCCATACCTCTATGCGCTCCTGCCCCCTGAGCTGTCTCCCTGTGCATAAACAGCCCTTCTTTCTCCCATGATTGTTCTCTCCAAGGAGTGTATCTACCTCAGGTAAATGTT